GGTCGGCAAGGTCTGTCATCTCGGTTGTGGGCAAAAGACCTGCAACTGACATTTAAAGGCTATCTCATCTCATCTCATGAAGAGCCTGTATTTGTAACTACAAACCTAACTAAGTTGTTTTGTGCCTATAGGCAAGATTCTGATTCTCCACTACCAATTATAACCCATACGAATCTTGGAAACGTAGTACCCTCATGGACTTTCAAACAATTCTGCAGGAATGATAAGGATGAACACATTTTGTCTGTGAAAAGCTGTAGCTTCAGCTCCCTATTCCAGAGGCGCAGTTCATTTAAAGAGATTATACATAATGCACGGTGATAAACTTTCTTTTGGAACAAAAACCAAACACCCCAGGGATGATAGCACTGAAACTGTAGACACCGTTTACTGCTAATCTGATCCTGCCAGGCAATCCTGTTTACTGTGCACTCTAAATCACACTGTAATGATTTCTTTGAGCTCAAGATGTTTGTTTAAGCAACTTGAAAAAAGAGAGAGAAAAAAGCTGTGACTACCTCCGTAAACGCACGCTGGAGCTGATAACAGCTTCTTTGCTATTTTTACCTCCATGTTGCTTCCAAAGAGGACACACTGTGCAAGTAGGGAGAAGTGTTTGTGTGTGTACATGTACAAGTTTTTTTTAGAGGATTTATAACCACAGTAATTATAGCCATGCTCTGTCCTGTGTGTCCCTGACAGATATGACTGAGAGCTGTGAGGGGACACAAAAAGAAGAAGCAGTTGGAGACACAGACGGGAGCAGAGCCCGAACTCCACTTCACTCCATTTGACCACAAGTGAGACTGAGGACAGAGAAGATGTCTTGAGTATTTTGTTTTTTAACATGTGCGGACACAATTATGTTAAATGAACACCTGGAGGAACCAGTGCTGTTGGACACAATGTACAAAACAGAACCCCCTCCTCACCACCCTCGCATCCATATTCATCACTTGCAGAACTTCCTGTTGCACAGAGAGAGACCAGCGTCAAAACACACAAAACAGGCTCGTCATATTTTTTCGGGTTTTCTCCCATGCTTGCTTTCTGTGCTTGCGCTGGGTGAGCCTGCATGCTGGCCCAGGGCAAGCTGTTATTTCCTGGTGACTGAGAGAGGTGTACAGTACATGCTGCTGACGCACAAGAAAAACAGGAATCGAGGGTGTGATTTTGAATAACACATAAAAAACCAAAACAAAAAACAAATGTAAAATCAATGTACTTACGCTGGTCAAGTGGCAAAATATTACACAATGTCTTTAGCTGGTCCTCGCGACCCCTTCTTGGAGGGCACTGTAAATGTTTTGTTCTTCAAAACAGCAGGTAGAAAAAGATACCGACTACAAAATGAAGACAAATTGTAAATGCTAAAACATGAATGCTGTTATGAACTTCTAAACTCCCACTCTCTGGATTTCCTGTTTTATAAAGAGCGCTCATGAGATACTCCAAAATTAATGGAGCCCTAAGGAGGTGTAATCCAAATATGTACATTGTGTGGTGATTTTCTGCAACCACCGTAAAGAGCTGCTTTTCTTTACTGATGTGCTCATCTGCTCTGGTTTGTATAGAAGCTTGTTTCCACCACTGAAAATGTTTTTTTAGCCATCCATAACTCAAAATATTGTGTTATGTATCTCAAAATTAATTAATTGAGTTAATCAGCTAAAATGTTTAAGAAAATAACTCTTCCAATCAGGAAGCGCTGTAGTCAACATGACTGTTATACTATGAGGTGCTTACCAAAATTAACTAATAACTAATTAAGTTATCCAGAAGCAGAACATGGAAGGCATTAGCTACCAGTGCTATAGCTAAGCTAGCAATGCTACAGCTACGCTAGCAGCATTCGGCTGACTTACCAGCGCTACTGCTGCTTGTCATAAATGTTCAAACTGAGGAGCATTGGGTTAGCTTAGTGGGATGAGCAGGTGACCATATGCTATATGGCCAGGGAGAGCAGTAGACCCTGGTTTGATTCTAACCCGTGGGCCTTTGCTGCATGTCTTCCCATCTCTCCCCAGTTTCCTGTCTCCTTACACTGTTACTATTGAATAAAGGCTAAAATAGCCCAATAAAATAAATAAATGTTCAAACTGCTGAGTACTCTCAGCATGGCTTTACAAATGATGAAATGTGCTATTAGCTGACTCACAGGCATTAGCATAAAAGTAGCTTGTTCATGTTTACTACACTTCGGTAGCACATTGATGATATCACTACCTGATTTTCAGTACGCATTTGTCTATGCCATCTGCTTCTGGGTAAGCAGCTTCCTGATTTGCAGAGTTAAGTCAAAATTCCAACAAAATAACTCAAAATTTAAAGTCATGCTTGTCCTCTTCTCTCCTCTCTTGAATTCCTACCAACCAATAACGTCCAATAGCAAAATACTGGCATCTTTTAGAAAAACAGCTTTCATGTAAGTAAAACTAATGGGTATTTGTAGTGTTTTATTTCAGTGCAGACACATTATTGATTGTGTATTTGTGAAAATAAAAATAAAATATGTGCTTTTGTTGTCTAGAAGCAGGTGTAAATAACTATTTCAGCCATTTAGCTTCATCCAGTCTTGTTGAGGCTTTCTTATGAGCAACCCTGCTGCACCCTCTGGTTGCATTACGGCCAATTTCTGTAGAAATGGATGGGAAATTGAATGGCTGTTGTAGATTGGCTGCTAGGTGCAATTTTTTTTTACGCTCTAAATGTAAAGCCATCTTAAATAGAAGCCTTTTCAAAACGACAGGAAAAAAAAGAAATTTCAACTCTTCTTGCCATGCCCAAAAATAAAAATCAATAATCCATCTTAAACTGGTTCTATTATTCTTTCAAAAAATCCAGCTCCAGACTGGTCTTAACCTTGATTCAAAACACGTTTTTTTTCCACAGAGCCAAGTTTGATGTCAGTGAGAACAGATATCCCCAACAGCACTCTCTGAAACACATGGCTCTGGCTGTGAGAAGCTACAGAAACCTGCTGTTTACATCTTTTTTCTGTAAGAGTCATAAGAAACTTGCCTTAAAGAACGAGAAAAGGAAGCAAAAATGGCTTATTTTTGAGATCTGAGCTGAGGTGCTAAACCAGGCCAAGTTCATCTGTATAGCACAAAATCACAATTGCTGCCACAAGGAACTTTATACCCAACAGTACTGGGTGGGGGGGAAACAACAATCAAGCAATAGGTGATGATGGGAAGAAAAAAAACTTCACTTTTGATAAAAAAAAAAAGAAAAAAGAGAAAAACCTTTAGCAGAATCAGGCTCAACGAGGGGTAGCCATTTGCTGTTACCGGTTGGTGGTGTGGGAAATAAGAAATAAAAAAGGCGAGTAAGGATAGGCGGTCCTCTTTAAAGCTATGCACGTGACGCACTTTGTGGTCACTTGTGGGTGAATTTTGTTTCCTTTGTTACCTGTTTCCAGGCAAAGCTAGCCAGGTGCCTGTGACTGCATCACAAAAACTGTAAAGAATAAAGAGTTAGGAGATCAGACCCGGACCCCGGTCTAAACTGTTTCTTTAGAGGCAAGAGCCAGCTCCCCGTTTT